AAGGAGGGGGCCTAGGCTCGTGGCTGGCGTGGGCTCTTGGGCAAGAGTCTGTGTGGGGTTGCTTCCTCCAGTCTCGGCCTAGCTGATTGTCCCTTCCTCAAATCTTGGATGGGCTGTGCTGGGCAAAGGCATTCCAAGACTGATGAGGCTGTCAAGGGGACTCAGCCCATTTTAGGGCTTGTTCATTGGAGAGAAGGATTGTTTTGCCAGGATCTGCATTTTTGTCCCTGAGCAGAGGTTGGGTGCACAGGGTCTCTTCCCTTACCATAACAATGCCTAATCTAGAAGGGGTCTTCAACTTCAAATGGCTCCCTCTTCCAAATGCCAAGAGTCCTACAAGGCAGGTCGGAACCAGAACGAGTTCTGGTTCAAAGATCCATTGGGGTGATTCTAGAGGGCAGAAGCTTAGCACATGATTCTGTAGTCAGCCAGACTTGGGTCTGAGTCCCAGCTTGGCCTCTTACAAGCTGTGTGACTTTGGGCAAATGAATAAACCTCTCTGAGCCTTTGCATGCCCAGAGGGATAATGCTACTTACCTCAAAGTGCTGGGCAAAGGGCCAGGCACTTGGGAAGACTTGATTCATGGTGATCATTATTTTTGAAGAAATAAGGGCAGTTTACTCCTGAAGGTCCAAGGAAGAGTTGGAGCCCACTAGGGCATTTCCCTCCCCCTTGAAGAAGTGCCTTTAGTAGTCATATTTTAGCAGTTATTTTTTTATTATGTACTTACTCTGTGCTAGTCACTGTTCTAAGGGCATCATGAGTTTTAACTCATTTAATGAGTTAATCCAGACAACTCAATAACCTGATGAGACAGGTGCTCTTACTGCCTGTTACAGATGAGATAAGTGAGGCACAGAGCACCTAAGTAAGTTGCCCACGGTCCCACAGTTGCTACCAGGCAGATCTGGGATAGGAACCCAGGCAGCCTCGCTCTCACCTGGCACTTGTAACCACCAGCATCTCAGCCTCACTCCAACAGATCTCTGCCCACCTGGTTCCCTCAGCACCTGGGCACAGGGATCCACCCCACATCTGAAAGCCCCCTGGCTTCTACACTCGGCCTGGGTTTCTTCATCCAAACATAAAGGGGCCTGAATGAGTTGGCCTCTGTGGGCCATGAGAGTGGGTGATTCACACTGAGCATGAAGGCATGTTTTGAACTGGAGAAAAGGTTTCTGGTGGTGAAGCATTGACACCAACAAGCCTCTTTTGCAAGCGGGAAGGGGCTGGCTTCAGCTCTTGCAATGTGTGGCGAAGCCCTGAGCCCCATGGGACCTGTCTAGACAGGCTATTGGCAGGCAGCAGCCACCGTGGGCTCTATCCCCCAAATTCCTGCAGCTCACCCCCCAGATAGCCTCGGATTGGACCAGGGCCACTGGATACTGCTAGGCTGAGGGAGGGCCACATGGGCAGTGCTCGCTCCCACCCCAGGGCCTTCGTAAGTGTCTGTGATTAAGTGTGCTCTGTAACTTGGTGCTTGTGGGGCAAATTTCTACATATCCATATGCATGGGAGTGTAGCATTCTGCAGAACACACACACGTTGCAAGCTTTTTAATTTTCCTTTCTTCCTTACATAGCATATCATACAGATGTGATACATACAAAATAAAGTGTGTAAAACCTATGCTTCAAGAAATCTGATCATTTCAAGAGTGGTCAAGGAGGGGGCAGTGCTCATACCCTATTGGTGGGAATGTTAACTTGGTTCAGCCACTTTGGAAAATAATCTGGTGCTTTCCTGGAAAGTTGACAGGCATGCACCCTAGGACCCAGCAATCCCCTCTAGGTATAAACGCCGGAAAACCTCTGGCTTATGTGCACCAAGGGATGTGGACAAAGACGGTAAGAAAAACAATCGGAAACAGCCTCTATTGTGGTTCTTTGAACCACCCGTAACCCTGAGCTCTGGGGACTGCTTAGTTGAAAAATTGCAGGAGGAGGCAGGGCTCAGGCACAGCCCAGCAGTGAGGACCTCAGAAATCAGTTCCCTGAAGCCCTCAGGCTCACATGGGGAATCAGACGGTCACCAAGGTCAGTGGCGGCTGGCAGGGGCCTGGAACTATCTATTCCTCAGGATTCGATGTGTCAGCGTGTCCTCAGAACTGGCCAGGCTGGGAAAGGGCTGATTTTGCCCAAAGAGCTGGGGTGTGGCTCCAAGGGACCAATGACCAAAAAACTCCTTTCTTTCCTGGGGCAGCGGCAGGGCCAAAGGGAGAGTAGTGGCCTCAGAACTAGAAGAAGACTTGGGCTCAGGCTCTGATGTGGTTTCCACTTGACCACAGACTCCTCTGTAAAGTGGGGATTCCTCCCACTAAGGCTAAGAGCGTGCATTTTGAAGTTTCATAGACTGAGTTCAATTCCCCTTCACCACTTTCTAGTTGTGTGATCTTGGGTAAGCTGCAGTGGTTTCCTTCTCTGCAAACTGGGAGTGATGGAATGAAGCTGATTCCTGCCTCACAGTAATCCTGGCAGGATTAAATGATAATGCAAACTATTCAGCCCAGTGCCTGGCTCCTGGGAAGTCCCCCAGACATATTCTGTCCCCTCCTATGGGGTACATTGGAAGCTCCCCAGGAAGTTCTGGAATGGCCCAGGGGCAGGGCAGGAGGTGGGAGACTCCTGGGGGAGATAGCAGCCTGGGAAGCTGGCACACACACAGTTCAGACTTAATAATTCACAAGCTGTGTGACCTTAGGCAAGCAACTTAGCCTCTCTGTGCCTTGAGTACCTTATTTACACAATGGGGATAATAATTACACCTTCCTCACTGGGTGTTGTGAGGATTAAGTGAATTAATTCAAGGGCCTTAGGTAGTGACTGGACATTGTAAGCACTCCACAAAACGTGTATGGTAACAATATAGTTCTCCTTATCTGTGCCACTTTATGGAGCCCCCGTTGGGCAGAGAGGCAGGTCCATCCCAGTGCTGCCATCAGCTCTCTGTGAAGACTGAGCAGTGCTTTCTCTCTGTGGCTCTGTTGCCTCGGCTGTCTTTGTGGGGGTCCCAGGCTGCTCTGCAGCTCAGCATTCCCGACACTTCTATGTGCAAGGGGATTCCCCGGGAGTTTGTCAGGCAGATTCCTAGGCCCCATACAGGATTCCCTGTCAGTAGATGAGTGTGTAGTGGTTCAGACACCATCCTTTGGGATTTCTTGCCCTCACAATACCTATAAATGTGGAAAGGAGACCCCACCTAGCCTTTAGATGTCTCAAGCTAGTTGCTCTTCTGTGCCCTTAATCTCCAACTTCTGGATGCATCCTGCCTCTTCTCAGAGCCTGTTCTCTCTTCAGCAGCGCTGGGTGTTCCCTGGCTGGGTCTCATTCCCACTTCTCTCTAAACATAGCTAAGGTAATCTTGCCCCACAAGAGGTGTGGGGTCTGACACCAGCCCCATTTATCCTGCTCTTCCGTGCATATTTTCTTACTCCTCATGACAACCATAGACCAGAACCAAGATTGTACCCATTTTGCAGAGGAGGAAGCTGAGGCTCAGAGATGGCAAGTGACTTGTCCATGGTCACTTGTCTGGCAAGTAAAAAAAGCCAGAATTGGACCCAGGCAGTGGGATTCCAGAGCCTCCTTCTGGACTCTTACGGCCTTGAGTGACCGGAAGTGGAAGGTGAGGGGGTGAGGCAGGCAGTGCTGGAGGACTGTGTTCGATTTGGGGCCCCAGATATGGCCAGAGTGTGTTCAAAGGAGACTGCCTGTACGTGTTCAAGTCCCAGTCCTAAACCTCTGCCTCTACCCAGCCCCACCTCCCACGGTGCCCATCACAAATCTCCTGCCTTCCTTTGAGTCCCCTGGCCCCACCATTTCACGCCCCTGTAATCCTCTGCTGTTTTTCTGTCCCTAAACCACTCCAAGCTCCTGCGCTTCTGTACTGTCAAATCCAGAAATCAGCTCCTGGGCTGGCTGGTTAGCTCAGTCGGTTAGAGTGCTGCCTTGTAACAATAAGGTCAAGGGTTTGGATCCCCTTACCGGCCAGCTGCCAAAAACCAAACAGAAATCAGCCCCTTTCCCACCAGAGGCTGTGTTGTTGGGGCCAAGCTCACTCTGAGGCCTCGGGGCTGCCGGCTGCCCCGCCCCCCACCGGCCAGGCCTGCAGTCAGAGACCCTCAGCTACTCTCCATCACTTTTGGCTCAGTCTCCTAAAGCTCCCACAGGCTTCGGGCATCTGTTTGGGCTCTACACCTGCGGCCAAAGGGCAGAACTCAGCCCAGGGACCTTCTGGGGGAACTTCCCAACACTGGCTGCCCCTTAGGCTTAAACAGTTCAGAAGCCACATCCTGCATAGAGACCTTTTAGTCCAAGGGCCTCATTATACAGATGGGAAACTGTGGCCCAGAGAGGGGAGGGTGCCTGCCCAAGGCCACACAGCCAGGCACTGAGAGCTGAGCTGGGGCTGGAGCCCATGCACCCCTGTCTCCCTCAGCCCGCGTCCCTTCTCACTGCTACACGCGCAGCCGGCACCCAGCCTTCTTGGGCTCTCTGCCTGCCTATCTGCCGGAGCCTGAGCATACATCGCTTCTCCCCAAGCTTCGTTTCTTGAAACAATTATGTGAAAACAGTTTTCCTTGCCAGGAGCCCGACTCTTGGGACTACAGAATCAAAACCTCCTACAGCAAGGAAGAGGCACTGTCTACACAGTAGCCAGGGAGACTGGCCTGGGCTCGGACACAGCAGTGATGCTTGAGCCGGCAGGACATTAACTCTGTCCACTCCCTCTGCCGCTTCTTCTCCCCATTTAAGCACAGCAACAAGGACTTCTGGAAGTCAGCTGGACCCTGGAATTAGAGCTGGTCAGGGCTGGATGGACGCTTAGAAGTCATCTAGTCCAACCCCTTATAGAGATGGGGAAACTGAGGCCCGGAGAGGCGAAAGCACAGAGCCAGTTATCAAGAGAGCAAGGACAAGACCCCAGACACAGCATCCCCCTGGGGGAGATGCCACAGAGGCCCCCATTCATGGACCCCGTGTCAGCCGCTGGTTCTTACCTTTCTTGGAGTCTGGTCCAGGTGTGGCTCCCTGGGGTCTGGAGATGGGGCCAGACTGTTTGGGGAATGGTTGGGGGGTGTCATTGTTTCTTAATTAACTTGACCCAGCCTCTGGCACCCCTCACTGCCACAGGGGTATTTTTAAGTGGCTGGCACTGGGCCCCCCTCCCCTTAGCCCCTTGCCCACGGCTCCCTGGCCACAGAGGCCTCTCTGCCTTTTACCTTATATGAGCTGAAGAGGCAAGCCCGGTGTTGAGGCGAGGCGGGTGCTGAGTCCTTCCCGAGCCCTCCATTGGCCCTGGCGCCCACCACGTGACCACCTCGCCTTGACCTGCCCCCGGTGCCGAATGTTGCTTTTACCCCCTAAGGAAGGAGTGGTTGACAATTTTCATATTTCTTCTAAATTTGGAGATTTCAGACAATGCTGGGAGGCTTGGCTCCAGCCGCCAGAGGCCCATGTGGAAGTCATTAAGCCTGAGGAGGGGGGCAGGGGGAGAGAGGGAGGCAGAGAGAGGAGGAGGAGGAGGAAGGGGGTGGGGGCCGGAGTTCTGAGGGTTGCCAGTTGTCAGCCTGGGAACATGAGCAAGCTCCCTGGGAGAAAGCTGTGTGAGAATTTCCTGCCTCTCTCCCAGCCCCTCTGTCCAGGACTGCAGGGGGAGTTCTGAGGTTTTCTGGGAACCCCCATTGGGAAAGACACCAGTCCTGGCTCTTGCAGTCCAAGGGGTGATAGGAATGGTGGGGATGGGAGATCATGGGGAAGTAAATCCCCTCTCTAGAAAGCAGGGACCCTGGGAAGCCACCCCTATCATTGTGCAAAGAAGACCTGGGCACAGTCACATAGTGAGGTGCCACAGGACAGGGGCTTGAATCTAGGGACTGCCCCCTGCTGGGGCTGCCTTTCTTGAGAAATGCCCATCTTTTGTCATAGTCTCTCTTTCTTATTATGCTTTGGCTGCCTTGGCCTCCCACAGATTCCTTGGCATTTTTTAGGCCTCAGGGCCTTTGCACTCGCAGTTCTCGCTGCCAAAAGCTCCCTCTCCCCAGAGCTTCTCCTGGCAGGCTCCTTCCCCTGCTCCTGCTCTTGCCCTGGCCACCTCTGTATTCTCTGCCCACCCTCTGCTTGGTTCCCTCTTAGGACCCTCCTTACCCTGTGCTTATCTTATGGGTTTACTGATCATGTTTCTAGCCATCCAGCTCTTCCACGAGAGCGTGATTCCTTGAGCAGGGTCTGTGTCCCCAGGCTTCCCACAATGCCCATGAGAAATGGTCAGAAAAGACGTGTCGAGGGGCTGCAGGAACAAGGCAGCAGCCACCAGGGAGGTCGGTCACTTTGAGGCCCACAGAGGGCTCCTCCCAGTGGCCAACCATGCCCTGCACTGAGGGCGGCCGCCCTGTCCCTGCCCTTCATAGCTCAGAGCTTCCCTTCTGCAGCCAGGCCAGTGGGCCCTGGCTGTCTCTGTTCACAGTCTCATTCACAGTCCTGCAGACCCCCAGCTGGATGGGACTGTACCCCTCTTGCTCCTCCCTTGGGGCCAGAGCCATGGTCTACCTGCCGCAGCACCAGGATGCAACACATGCGGTCTTACGACATCCTGCGTGGGGCCATTTGGAGGGGTGCTGGATCACACTGTCCCTGACCTTAAGAAGCTTCCAGTCGAATAGGAGGATATCCCACCCCTCCCCACTTCGTTCTTTCTGAGGAAAGAATTCTTTTGTTGTCAGGAGGCCTGAATGCATGTCCTGCCACTTCCCAGCTGTGTAGTCTGGGCAATTTGTTTAATTGCTGCTCTTTGCCTCACTTTCCTCTTCTGTAAAATGGAGATAACAGTGATTGCCTGCAGTGTTGCTGTGAGGGTTAGGCAGGTGGCAGGTGCAGTCCCAGGGGATGGTTGCAGCTGGGCTTTGGAGTCTCCTGGGATCCTCTCTGCCCTGCTGCTTCCCATAGGGGTGCCCTGGGAAGGTGTTCTATGAATTAATGTCTGTGAAGCTCACTGTCCTCCTCTGTAGAAGGGAACGAATAACGGTACCCATGAAGTGAGACGATGCTTATGGAGGGTTTAGCCCATGCCTACCTGCTTCAGAGCAAGTACTCAATCAATGCTAGATATTACTAAGTATTATGATGCAAGAGTCTGGCATGCAGCACGCTCCCCACTAATGTCATCCTTTTCCTCCCTAGACCAAGCAGGTGGATCCCATAAGTACTCAATCAATGCTAGATATTACTAAGTATTATGATGCAAGAGTCTGGCATGCAGCACACTCCCCACTAATGTCATCCTTTTCCTCCCTAGACCAAGCAGGTGGATCCCAATCATACGCACAGTCCTGGGGTGCAAGTAACAGGTGGTGGGGCGGGGAAGGCTTGTAACCCCCTCACCAGCCCTGCACAGTGGCCCAGTTTAACACTCCAAAGCACCACCAACGGGTTCCAGAGGAAAGATAAAGCCAGCTCAATACAACCACTCAATTTACGTAACATACACCCTGGAGACTGTGAAACTTATGTTACGCTTCTGTTAGTTCTGCTACTGTATAAGCATCAGAGACTTCTTCATCAAGACAGAAAAGAAAAGCAGAGAAAAACTACCAGTAAATATTGTGGAGAGATGCACCATTTCAGTACCCAAAAACTCTGCCCTTGTCAAGCACTTGAGTTGGCTGCACCTGTGGGCCGACGAGCTTGGTTATGGGAGAGTCCATTACGAGAGGTCAAAACAGTAATTGAAGAGAACTGGAGACAGGTCTTGGGACGTCAGAAGAGAGGTGTTCAACACCAAAATGTCTCAAAAGGCTAATTAAATGGCAGCCATTTCTGACTCAGTCTCCATAAATCTGTCTCAAACATTTTGGAAGCTGTTTCCGCCCACACTCTCTCTTGGGAGTTACAACTACTTTACTTTTATGAACCACTGTGTGAAGTGACTTTTCTTTCCAGATGGTGGAGAAGCAGCACTGAAATCTCTTCATCCCCTGAGGAAACACGTCAACAGACTCCGGCTTAGTATGTGTGAGTGAGACTTTGGGAGATGAAGGGAAGTTCTTATTAGAAGCTGGGTATGAAAGTGTGTTTGAGTTGGTGAGTGCTGTGTCCTCAGAGGGTATGTTTGTTCAGGGGGAAGGAACCCCATCCTGAAGGGTGGGGGGAACTGGAGAATAGAGGACTCATGGAGCCTGGAGAGAGGCCTCCATGGCTGCACAGGGTGACCAGGGAAGAGTTTGAATTGGTGCAATGGAACCTTCAGGAAGATGGAGTCTAGATCCACATAGGAAAGACTTTTTAAGTCAGTGGAGCTACCCAAGGATGAAGTAGGCTAATGGGCTGCTTGGTAAAGTGGTGAGTTCTCTGTCACTAAAGAAAAAAGGATTGCAACAAGTCCTTAACAGCTTACTTTGTGTTAGAACTTAGTATGCCAAGTGTGCAACAGTGAAAATTTAATGTAGGCTTCAATGTCTAATGAAGTGGTACCAGTCAGGGTCCAGTTCAGGAAAGAAACTATTCCTGCTGTTTTTAGTAGAAAAGGGAATTACTACAGGGAACTGGGTACTTACACAATTGGGAAGGCTGGAGACTTACACAATTGGGCTCCAGGCAGGATCCCAGGGAATGACTCGGACAACACCATGGTACTGTCCTGTCGGGACAGCTGCTGCCTCTGTTGCCATCAGAAATGGTGTGTGATGGTTAATTTCACCTGTCAACTTCACTGGGTTAAGGGATGCCCAGATAGTTGGTAAACATTATTGATGGGTGTGTCTATAAGGGTATCTCTTCTGAAAGGAAGAGATTAGCATTTGAATCCATAGTTTTAGTAAAGAAGAATCATCTTCACCAATGTGGGTGGACATCATCTAATCTGTTGAGGCCTGAACAGAACAAAAACACAGAGGAAGGGCAAGTTCACTCTCTCTTTACTTGAGTTGGGACATCTCCCTTCTGCCCTCAGACACCGAAGCTCCTGGTTCTTGGTCCCTTGGACTCTGGGACTTACAACAGCTGCTCCCCTGGCTCTCAGGCCTTTGAACTTGGACTGAACTACATCACCAGCTTTCCTGGTTCTCCAGCTTGCAGATGGCATATTTTGGGACTTCTCAGCCTCCATAATCCCATGAGCTGATTCCCATAATGAATCACCTCTTATATATCTATATGTATCCCAATGGCTCTGTTTCTCTGGAGAACACTGACTAATACGTGGTGGGCTCAGAAAGGGGAGCTCCTTTAAGAACACACTGCTGTAGCTGAGTCAAGGGTCAGGAAGCCGCTGCTGCCTCTCGACACCCACAGAGCCAACAGTGGGTTGAATTAGTCAGCTAGGGATGCCATAACAAAGTACTGCAGATGGGGTGGCTTAAACAACAGAAATTTATTGCCTTCCATTTCTGGAGGCTGGAAATCTGAGCTCAAGGTGTCTGCAGGGTTGGTTCCTTCTAAGGCTGTGAGAGGATCTGTTCCATGACTCTCTCCTAGCGTGTGGTGGTTGTTGACAGTCTGGCATTCCTTGGCTTGTAGATGCATCACCCTGATCTCTGCCTTTGTGTTCACATGGTGTTCTCCCTGTGAGTGTCTGCCTCCAAGTTTCCACTTTTTGTAAGGACACCAGTCATATTGGATTAGGAGCCCACCTTACTCCAGTATAACTTTGTCTTAACTAATTACATTTGCAACATCCCTATTTCCAAATAAGGTCAAATCCTGAGGTGTTGGGGATTAGGATTTTAACATGTGAATTTGGGGGTGAGGGCACAATTCAGTCCTTAACTTGGATAATGGACACTGCTGTGGACGGACCCATATGGTGGTGCTTGCCAGAAGCTACAGCAAAGCAGGAAAATGACCTTTCTGCAGAACCTGGAAAGTCTGGGAAAGGTAGTTTTTAGCTTACGAGACTCTGCAGTAATGAAAGCAATCTAGAAGTGGGTTGGAATAGATGTGGTGTCAGTCCACCAAATCTCCAACCTAAATCCAACACCTTCTACCTGCCACACCAGCCCTGGTCATTTTGCAGCTGGCAAAAATTCATGCTGCTGCACACACGAGCCTAGGGTACTAGAAAC